AAAAACAGCAAGAAGGAAGGAGGGAGGGAAGGAAGGGAGTGAATGAAAGAGAGAGAAAAAGGAAAGGAAGAAAGAAACAAGAAAAACAGAAAGAAGGAAGGAGGGAGGGAAGGAAGTGAGTGAGTGAAAGAGAGAGAAAAGGAAAGAAACAAAGAAACAAGAAAAACAGCAAGAAGGAAGGAGGGAGGGAAGGAAGGAAGGGAGTGAAAGAGAAAGAAAGAAAGAAAGAAAGAAAGAAAGAAAGAAAGAAAGAAAGGAGTGAAAGAGAAAGAGAAAAAAAGAAGGAAGGAAGGAAGTGAAAGAGAAAGAAAGAAGGGAGGAGGAAGGAAGGAAAGAAAGAAAGAAAGAGTGAGAGAGAGAATATAGGACTTTGGCAAGTTTAAAAACTGTTTTTTTCCCCCTTCTACTTTTAACAATCACAACTACAAGGCCAACAGAAACCATCAGTTTTTTGTTTCTGAACATCCCACGGAAGAAGAAGACGGGGTTGAGAGACGGGGGCGAAAAACGAAACATCCACTGAAGTCGATTACAAAAGGCAAGGAAAGAAAGAAGAAGAAGGAGGAGGAAAAAAAGGGGGGGGAATGGACGGGGGCGCAAGAACGAACTAGAAGAATTGTTATTTTTTTTAAAAAAAGAAAAAGCTGAAAGAAACGCCCGACGCAGAAAGAAAGAAAACCACCGGCTAATCCTGAGAACAGCAGACATGATTTAAGTCCAGGCTCTTGTTGGGTCGTGGGGTGAGGGATGAAGATGCTGCCCCCTGAATACCCCCCACTTTCCTTCTTCCTTTTGGCAATCTTCTTTTTGTTTTTGTCCAGTAAAATCCAGCAGCAGCAACAGCAGGCCAGGATGGCCGTCCTTTGATGTCTCTTGAGAATCCAAGGGAGGAGGGAGGCAGGGCAGCCCCCCCCCCCTCCTCAGACATACCATTCATTGAAGTTGGGGGGCAGACCTGGGTTGGGGTTGGCCGTCTGAACAGGAGCGGCAGGAGGGGCAGCTTTCCCGGAGTCCTTACTGGGGGCAGCAGCCAAGGCGGGGGGCGTGGAGGATTCGTAGCCTGAACTGGCCGCGGGAGACGATTCGGAGCTCTGCGTTTCGTGGACCTGAAAAGGGGAGAGAGAAAGAGAGAGAAAGAGAGAAAATAAAAAGAGAGCGAGAATCATCACGGGATCAGAACTGGCTGTTTTATTTCATGGATACCTTTGGCTGCTTGCAGTGCAAACCAGATTTTTTTTTGGAAAAAAAAACCAATAATTATAAGGAGAACGGGCATAAAAGGAGCAGCACAAGAAAATATTCACACATATTCTCTCCCATTGGGGGGGGGAGAGAGAGAGAAAGAGAAAGAGAGGGGGGAAGAGACAGAGAGAAGGAGAGGGAGGGAGAGGGAGGGGAGGGAGAGAGAGGAGAGGGAGAGAGAGANAGAGAGAGAGAGAATATTTTAAATTTACCTTCGGAGGTTTTCGTGGGTTGGGTCCGTCCAGATGGTTCTGCTGCCCCTTCCTTTTGTGATCCAAACATTTTGGGGGGGATGGTGGCAATCAAAAGGTGAGCGAACAAGGGATCCAGGAGCCCAACGGGAAGAGAAAAGTCGTGAAGTTTTCTCCAGCTCTTCCCGCGGAGATAAAACAGCCAAAATTAGAAAGAAGAAGAAGCAAAAACCAGCGTTTCGGGGTAAAAGGGAAACCGTTTCTTTCAAACCTGTAAACTCCCTGCCTCCCCCCCCCCAAACAGGTTTTTTTTGACAGGTTGGCTTTTTCTGAAGCATTGAAAAGTTGCCCTGCAATTTTAATTTAAAAAATTTTAAATTTAAAATCGACAATTGAAGAAGAAAGAAAGGAAAAGGGGTGGGGGAAATCACCAAATTAAAATTTAAAAAACCAGGCCTAGGGTGTCCTTTCCCAAACAATAAACTTTTAATGCTAAAGCAGTTATATAACCAAAAGCTGTACATTGTCATCTGTGTGAGGGGGTTTTTTTTACCTTTTTTTTTCTTTTTTTTGTTAGAAAATGAAATTGTGTGGTTTTTTTTAATGGGATTCTTTTTTTTTTCCCCTTCTCATAAATATTGTTCAGTTCCCGGCACTTGTCTCAATAATTAAATTACAAATGATAAATATGGCATCGTGGATATGTATTTACACACAAAAAGAGGTATTACAAAAAGGCAACTGTTTTACACTAAACTGCCAGGAGAGCTGTGTGAAATTAAAATCACACACTTTTTTTTTCATCGTAAAAAATAGACTGAATGACACCCCTTCCCATTTCTGCCATTAGAAGAAAGTACATTCACAACAGAAAGGTAAAGGAAAAGAGAAAGAGATATGGAAGGGAGGAGAAAGAGAGGGGGGAGAGAGAGAGAAAGAAAGAAAAGAAAGAAAAAGACACACAGAGAGAGAGAACAAAAAAGAAAAAGGGAAGGAAGGAAATGAGTGAGTGAGTGAAAGAGAGAGAAAAAGGAAAGAAACAAAGAAACAAGAAAAACAGCAAGAAGGAAGGAGGGAGGGAAGGAAGTGAGTGAGTGAAAGAGAGAGAAAAGGAAAAAACAAAGAAACAAGAAAAACAGCAAGAAGGAAGGAGGGAGGGAAGTGAGTGAGTGAAAGAGAGAGAAAAGGAAAAAACAAAGAAACAAGAAAAACAGCAAGAAGGAAGGAGGGAGGGAAGGAAGTGAGTTAGTGAAAGAGAGAGAAAAGGAAAGAAACAAAGAAATAAAAACAGCAAGAAGGAAGGAGGGAGGGAAGGAAGTGAGTTAGTGAAAGAGAGAGAAAAGGAAAGAAACAAAGAAATAAAAACAGCAAGAAGGAAGGAGGGAGGGAAGGAAGTGAGTTAGTGAAAGAGAGAGAAAAGGAAAGAAACAAA